TCTGCTTTGGTCAAGCCTCACCTAGAATACTGTGTCCAGTTCTGGGCAGTACAATTCAAAAAGGGTGTTGAGAAGCTGGAGCATGTCTAGAGGAGGACCACCAGAATGGTGAAAGGTCTGGAAACCACCAAGCCCTTAGGGATCTGGGGAAGTTTATCCTGGAGAAGAGAAGGTTAAAGGGGTGATATGTTTAAATATTTGAAGGAATGTGATATTGAGGATGGAACAAGCTTGTTTTCTGCTGCTCCAGGGATTGGGACACCGAGCAATGGATGCAAGCTAGAGGAAAAGAGATTCCACCTCAACATTAGGAAGAACTTTCTGACAGTAAGAGCTGTTCAACAGCCTTGGAGGGTGATGGCGCCTCCTTCTTTGGAGGTTTTTAAACAGAGATTGGATGGCCATCTGTCCAGGGTGCTTTGATTGTGTGTGCCTGCATGGCAGAAGGGGATCGGACTGGATGGTGCTTGGGGTCTCTTCCAACTCTGTGATTCTATAATTTGTTGCTGAAGGCCCCCATATGAGCCTGCCAGTCATACCATCTTTGGGGAATGGCTTTTTCTCTGTTTGGTGCCAAAGTGGGGGACAGGGGCTTTTTAGTGGCTGCTCCCAGCCTATGGAACTCCTTCCCAAGTGAAACTTGGTTGGCTTCCTCTTAGCTCCTTTCATTGTTGTTGTGTGCCTTCAAGTAGTTTCCAACTTATGGCAAAACCTATCCTGGGATTTTATTGGGAGGTTTCTTCAGAGTGGAGTTGCCATTACAATGGCTGAGCGAGGAATCAAACGCTGATTTCCAAGGGAGCTGGGTATGTTTAGCCTGAAGAAGAGAAGGTTAAGAGGTGATATTATAGCCCCGTTTAAATATTTGAAGGGGTGTCACACTGAAGATGGAGCAAGCTTGTTTTCTGCTGCTCCAGAGACTAGAACACAGAACAATGGATGCAAGCTACAGGAAAAGAGATTCCACCTGAATATTAGGAGGAACTTCCTGACAGTAAGAGCTGTTTAACAGTGGAATACACTCCTTCCTCGGAGAGTGCTGGAGTCTCCTTCTTTGGAGGTCTTTAAACAGAGGCTGGATGGCCATCTGTTGGGGGTGCTTTGATTGGGAGTTCCTGCATGGACTGGATGGCTCTTGTGGTCTCTTCCAACTCTATGATTCTATGATTCTATGAAACCACTACGCCACAGTGGCTCTTGTACAGATCACCATATGCATCACCAAACTCTCAAGTCTTGCATTTCAATGGTTATTCATTCAGTTTAATTATAAAGGTCCTTGCTGGACACCTGTTCACTCCATGCATCTGAGGAAGCAGACCAAGTCTTTGCAGTAGCATCACTGGGGTGTGTGTGTGTGTGTGTGTGTGTGCTGGGGATGTGGATCGCGCCAGGTGACACTCTAACCACTGCTCCTCAAACATCTGCCTTTGGGCAGAAACAGTCTGTGGCATTCACCTGTCTCTTTGAAATGTTGCAGAGATGATGTGAGTAGAGTGAGGCTTAGACCGAGGACAAAGGAGAGGCCCAGATTTTAATTTTTATTTTTTTAAATTAACCATCAACCTTTTTCTAAATGTTCACATCAACCACATGAAACAGTGTCTATGTCTATGTAAATGCATTTAGGCTGTCAGCATGATATTGTAATGTAAAGGTATCCTTTTAATTTTGCTCCTTGTTTGTGTCACAACTATTGCCATTCCATTCAGTCATATCCAGGAATTACGGTTAATGAATAACATGAGAACAAAACAAAACAAAAACCATGCAAAAGGGGTCTCTATGATGGAATATAAAGAGACAGCGTGGTGTAGTGGTTTGACTCTGGAGACCAGGGTTCGAATTCCTGGTCGGCCATGCAAACCCACTGGGTGACCTTGGCCAAGTCACACTCTCTC